GGTGGCTCACGCTTGTAATCCCAGCACTTTGGGAGGCCGAGGCGGGTGGATCACGAGGTCAGGAAATCGAGACTATCCTGGCTAACATGGTGAAACCCCGTCTCTACTAAATATACAAAAAATTAGCCGGGTGTGGTGGCGAGCGCCTGTAGTCCCAGCTGCTCGGGAGGATGAGGCAGGAGAATGGCGTGAACCCAGGAGGCGGAGCTTGCAGTGAGCCAAGGTCGCGCAACTGCACTCCAGCCTGGGCGACAGAGCGAGACTCCATCTCAAAAAAAAGAAGAGTCCATGTTGCAGGAAACCCTTGGTCCTGATCAACAAGATGGTTGATTACCCTAGGTAAGACTGGGATTTGGTGGTTTGTAGTAGTTGAGGGAGGAAACCACTTAGAGATGAGAGTAGATCTGATAGAAAGTGCTTTGAACTGTTAAATGTCTGGGTTTGAATCCTAGCTGTATCACTGACCATCTTTGACATCTTAGGCAGATCTTTTCCCCTCTCTGATTCTGCGGAGAGTTTTGTGTCTTCTGGTACAGCCAGGCCCTTGGCTTGTATCCTCCACTTAGCAGCTCTTTCATATGTTTACCCAACAAAAGTTGAGAGAGTGAAGCTGGTGTGCCAGCATAGGAATTAGGTGCTAGAGATCACACTGAAGGCACATGGTTCCTGCCTTGCCATCTGTGTTACTGCAGCCATGGTGGAATCTTTTCAGTAGCAAACCTCTAGAACTTTTCTGCCTGGATAGTCCACATTCATTGCTCTTAAAATTTGAGAGCAGACTCTGTTTCTAGGAGATAGTAGACTTGAGTTCTCTACAGGATAACCTTTTAGACTAAGAGAACTAGATCTTTCTTGACCCTTCAGATTTTGAAAGCTGCTAATCCTACTCAGTTTTTAAGTCTCATTCTCATTTTCCCCTTTAGGAGTTCCAGCTCTGTCCCTCACAAGCAGCATAAGTGTGAGCAAGTGAATTAACATCTTTGGGCCTTAGTTTATTTGTGAAATAGGGATGACTATGATTCCCACCTCATGAGTTAGGAGGATTAAATGAGATCATTCCTCTTAGCACAGTATCTGCCATGTAGTATACAATAAATGGAATAAAATGATTGCATTTTCCACGTGTCTTGGAGAGCACTGGAGGCCAGCTCCTCTCCACCCATTGCCCAGACTTGAGCATCTCAGAGAAAGAAGCCACCTTTCATTGTATTCATCTCTGTGTCTACAGCCAGCCCCTGCCTGGTGAATAGTGGATACTTAATAGTATTGATTTATGACCTGAAGATGGTGATGGTGGTGATGATGTAACCTATCTCCTAGTATTAAGGAAGGTAAAATAAGAAAATGTATGTGAAACTACGCTTTTGTAAATGGAAAAACATAACACAGTGTACGTCCCTCCACTAAGGTATTTATCACGGTGTACTGTTCTTTATTTGTTTGCCTGTCTTTTCTACTCATAGTCCATGCACTTCTCCAAAGTGGAGACTACATCTTATCTCTAGTCCTGCGCCAGCCCCTGTCTGATAGCCTACACAAAGTAGGCACTCAGGTAGTTTAATTAAATGCAAATGGCATACAAAGGCAAAGAACTGTGAAGCTCTTACTAGGATAGGGAAAGAGGGCTGGTAAATATGACTGGTCCTTCCTTCCTTCCTGGTGCTACTTTTACACAAAACTGTTTCTGAAATAAACCTTCCTAGGGGAGTGATGAAATTGGCTGAGAGAAAAGGTGAGGGTCAGGAATAACAGTTTCATTATCTGAGCAACTGGACATAGTGGCTGGCACTTGGGCACATTGTCACAAATCTTTGTGTTGGGATTAATGCCACTAACCTGTAGCGATGGGGTTCCATCTCTGATCATTATCAGCTAAAAATCGTCAAAATGTTTGTCATGCTCCAGGTGCCCTGGCTGCAGAGTTGTGCCAACTTGATGCAGATTGGGGCACCTCTCCCACTACTGGGCTGTTTGGGCCAGTATTTTAAGGTTCTGGGAAGTATGAAGGTACTGACTGGGCAACATGGGAAGGTAAGAAGTACCTCAGTGAGGTCCTTGCTTCTGTAACTTCTCAGAGGGTCTTTTCTCAGAAGCTTCTCTTTTGCATCCTCAGTGGCTCAAGTGAATATGCCAGTGTGCAGGCTCATTGTTACAACAGCTCCTCATGTTGTGGAGAAAGGGCCCCTGAAAAGTCATGTTTTGAGACTGGCCCTTGAAACTGCCTCTTCTTGGTCTTGGGAAGAAGGCTTGGCTGATAAGCTAGCATTATCAGAGATATGTTTATAATAGGCCAAATTTGACGTGTCCTGGGCCTTGGGTCTAGGCCCCCTGAGAATTTCAGGGACCTACCCCCTTCCTTTTTTTTTTGTGCATGGATGCGAGTCTGGCTTGTTCTTCCTCTCTGGGAGGATGGCTCTGAGTCTCAGCACTTAGTTGGCCCCATTTCCCTCTGGGTGAGGAAGCGAACATCAGGAAAGTCTGAATATTGAGCTGCAGTATTTGCTGTTATTTGCTGCAATGGGGAAACCCAAAGGCCAGGTTTCTAGAGAGTGTGCTGGGAATGCTGACTTGGTGCTGGTCAGAGTGGAAGCTGAAGCACATAGTATTTTATAATAAATACTAATGAAATCCTAGATCTATAATAGCATTTCGGATGTCTAAAACAAACCATGTGCTTGTAAAAAAGTGGAAAGAGATCAACTTTAAGCCATAAATTCTTGGTAATAGAGGGTTTTTTTCTATTTATGTTTGATAGATATTTTTATTTCCAGAGGAATGTCAACTCCTAATTTCATAATGTATCATGGGCTTAAGAAAATTGAATTTAATAAGAAGCCAAAGATGAATGACATCCTTAAAGGTCCCAACACTTGTCTTTATTAGCAGGACAAACTGTAGGTCTCCAAACACTGCTGCTCTCCAAATGAAAGTTTAAATGAAAAGTACAGTTGTGTCACAGGTTAAATTTCATTGTGGGCCCAGCTAACATTGTTAGTGAGGAGCTGGCTGTATTTGTTTCCTTAGACACCAGGGCAGCCAAACTCACCAGGCTATAGAGCTCTTTCTGTTGAGGAAGTGTTTCTTCTACTTAGGGGGAGAGGAAGGACACATCAGAAAAATCAGGAGTCAGATGAGCCTGACTCATGGGCCATACCTCAGTGTTGGCTCTTGGAAATCCTGGATACCTGATTTTTTGCAGGGGGACCAATATGTGTTTTTTTGGTGTGTGTTCAATTTTGTTATTCAGTTCCAAACCCCCGTTTACTCTGTATGTAATGCTTCATGGGGAACAGAAGGTCCAGGGAATTGGGAAATGAGTGTTCCCCTCTCTTCACCTTGAGAGGAGAGGTATCACCTGGTCTAAGCAGCAGCCTGGGCCTCCCTTCTCTCCCCTCTGCCTCAGCCTTGCAGCCATTTTGCCCTTTCTGTCTCTGGGAGTAAGATCCTGTCAGCTTCCTCATCTTTGGAGATCAGCCCACAGAGACAAGGCAACCAGAATCTTTGAATCTCTCTAGCATGAAATCTGACGGACTTGATTTGGTTTTAGGTCCTGCTGTTATGTGTTGGATTGAAATAGATGCTTTAAAAACAAGCCCAATATTAGTGGGTATGTTTTGCGGGGAGGATGCCTGACTTTCCTGGGACAGCAAGGAGATTGACCATTTCTCCTTGTGTTTTCCCAGCCATTCATTTCCTAAGTGCAGTCAGGTGTCATCTGTTTCGTGTTGCTTCTCCAGGCTGTCTCTGGAGAGAACCAGTTTACTTCGATTTTAATGATACTGGAAAGGTCTTCTCCAGAATGAAGGACCCGGGGAAGGGGTGCTGCCGGAGCTATTGGGGCCACTGAATGGGCAGAGCCCCCTTTCTTTCTCTCTGCAGTGGAGGCCCTTTCCACATGCTAATTTTTCTCAGAGAATTTTGCTTTTATTTATTTTTTTTATTATTTCCTATTTGTCTCTTCCAGATGTTTTCAGGGCAGTTTTTTTGTGTGTGTGTTGTAAACTAATTCCATTCATGTTTTAAAAATTTATGAAAGCGCTAATAAAAATGTCAAAGTGGTAAAAATGTTAGCTTTTCCTCTGCTTTGATTAAATTTTGCAAACTGTTTTTGAATATTAAAAAGCAATAATTTTTTTTATTCTCTCTCCTTGCTTTCCCTCTTCTCTCTGGTACGCATGTGCTCTCTCCTGCCCTCTCCCCTCTCTGGTGTGTTCCTCCCTTCCCAGGAGCGATGTATGAGGCGTGCTGCACAGCCAGCGTTCTGCAAGCCTATTTGCACACCAGGACCTTGGTGCTGTGCATCTCTATTAAATAGCGGAGACAAATTAATCTTAGAGACTCCAAACAAATTGTCACTCCTCCTCCTTCTCTTCCATTATGTTTCAGTGGACTGGGAAGGGCTGGCTAAGCAATTGGGCTGGCGGTGTAGGGGGAGTGTGTACTGCCTGAAAGAAAGGTGGGAGGTGCTAGCTCCTGTTACTGTTACTCACTTTTCTCCTTCTCTTTGGGATCCCCTTTGGCTTTTTTATCTTTTTAAAAAATTAAGAAATAATGAAGAAACTTACCAGCTTGGTTCAAACTTCATACAAGGAAATCTACGCATTGGTCTGATGGCTGGTTGTCTATATGGCAGGAGATCAGACCCATTTCAGGACAGGGACCTGGGCAAGAGAAAGAAGGGGGTATTCTTAGGGGCTCGAGTTAGCAAGCCTCTGCTAGAGAACCAGTTGGAGAAACTGGGGCAGATGGCACCACTGTCTTCCTTCCCATTTCCAGAAACAGTGGGGTTGAGGTCTGTGTCCGGTCCCTGGAACCTATGAGGATATTAGCAGTGGGAGGGTTAGGATTGTAACTGCTGGTGCCGTTTCACTCAATCTTGGGTTTGGCCTGGCAGGAGCTAATGAACCCAAAACACTCATTTTTTGTTGACTTGGAGCTACTGTTGGAAACGGTCGATTACAATAACTTATTTTTCCTTTTCTGTATCTTTGGCACTCCAGGAAATCATCGAGTTCCCCATCTTGAAGCTAAATGGCCGGACCATGGAGATTGAGTCTACCTTTCACATGTATGTCCAGCCTGTAGTCCATCCACAGCTTACCCCATTCTGTACAGAGGTAAGAGCCCTAGAAGTGGGCAGCAAGGGCTGCTGGGAGGGGAATTTTGGAATCCTTGGTGCTCTATATAGGCCACTTAGAGAAAGCATAGGGATTATCAGTGCTTAAGGCAAGTGCGCACTGGACCTAGCAGTTAGGTTTTATAAAGTCTGACGCTCCACTCAGGTCACTGTTGTTACTGGGGACCCAGGGAGAGCAGTGGCTTAGTCTACCCCTGCTTCCCCAGCATCCCTTCCTGGTGACCGGCACTTGGAGACCAGGAGCAGAATGGCACTTCTGGGGTTCAAGTTCTTTCCAGTTCAATTTCCCTTAGGGCCCCTGGGCAAGAGGTAAAGATTTCAGCCACTTGCAAGGCAGGGTTATGTTCAGGCCTTCTTAGCTTTCTGGCATTGTTACTCTGTCCTCCTGTAAAGTGGCCCTGCATGAAGCATAAGTTGTTTGTCGGAGGTACATTCTGTCACCGAGGGAAGAGAAGAGTGGTCTGAGTGAAGCATGAGGCCTGACTGGCCAAGGCTGAAATCTCCTTATCCTAGGCGGGTACTGTACTTGGCCTCCTTGTCAGCAGGGAGGTATTGATCCCATTTTACAGGTTGCGAAACTGGGCCTAACTGAGATTTTGATGCTTGCTAGAGGCTCAAAAGAGCCATTGGCAGAGGGGAGGGGCCCCTGCAAGTTCTAACTCCCAGAACTGTGTGAAGCCTTCTGTGGCTACTTTTCCCTGTGACATGTCATGTAATGCACTCAGTGGTGGCCAACAGGCTGTGGTGCAATCGGGTTAAGAATGTGTGGTAGCAGGGATGACGAGAATCTTTTAAGAGTCTGGGGCTGAGGTACATTAGAGACTTTGTGCCTTCATTTAGACACCTGTCTGCTACATGTGAATGAAATAGGTGGAAAGGGGTTCTTGAGTTATCCCAAAAAATCTCCTTGGTGAGAAGGCTGGGAATGAGCGTGTCTGACCCTGGTAGGCCCTGAGGCTGACTTAGCCCAGATATGAGGCCTCGAAATTGCTCCGAATTTGATGCCAGTGTTTGCCAACTGATCCAGGTGGGGCTTTTGCTGTAGGCATCTATCTGCCAAGGTGCCTAGCCTCTTAAGCCTTTTGTTACTCCAACTAATGATGTTGCGTTCTGGTTCGCTCCTTCCTCTACTGGGTTTTCCCCTTTCCCCTGGGATTTACCTATACCACCAGGGGGCACTAATCTGACTTTTCTGGCCCATTTGAAAAATCACCATTTTAATGATGATGAAAATCCCCTTGCTTATGGGAAGGGAAGGAAAGACTTCTTTAAGCCAGCCAGTTCCCTGATCCCTCCACTGGCCTGAAAGGCTAATGTCTTCTTGTCCTTACATAGATAAGCAGGCCCAAATTTTGGTAAGTTTGCTACCTGTTTAGGAATGGAACAGAATTCTGCTGGAGCTGGACCCTGGGCAGGAGTGGATGCTTGAGAGTATAGGAAGAAGAGGGACTTCTTTTAGAGTGAGGCTGCTGCTGCTACTTTTTGTGGGGATGGGAGGAGGGATTGTGAGGCTATGATGAACAGTTTCTTCTTTCTAGAAAGCTTCACCCAAGGACGCACGTACATAATTTGGAGGGGAGTAGGAGTGGTGGTTGGGATCCTTATTATGAAGCCTGTTCTAAAAGTGAAAATGTGGTTGTTCTGTAGGCACTGGGTCTGCCATTTTGTCTCAGGTTTCCAGAGCTCAAAACTCGCCATGATCTTGTCCATCCCTTTTTGACCAGCCTCATCTCTCTTTGCTTCGTCTCCCACCTAGCTCCCCTCACCCAGAGGTTGCCCTCTTATAGTCTGTCTTTTCACATGATGGTCCTTCTGCCTGCACAGAGTTCCCACTCTCCCTGCCAACTCCTGCTTGACCTCCAGGACTCTGCTTAGGGTCACCTTCCCTGATCCTCAGATTGAGTTGTGCTTATTCCAACATAGAACTGATCAGATCATTTATACTATAATTATTTATCTCTCTCTTCACTAGACTATAAGTTCTTTGAGGGAAGAAACTAGACCTGATCCATCTCCATCCCATCATTAGGGTCTGCTACCAAGTAGACACTTGATAGGTGTCCCTTAAATGAATGAATATTGTCAAGAAGTTATTTTCTGTCTCTCCCAAAAACAACTGTACTGCTAACTTGTTATTTTGAGTAACTGAAGTCTTATTTGGAAAACCGCAGATCATATAAATTTTGCCCTGTCTCCATATCAGATGGAATTGTATCTCCAAGAGGCATAGACACAGGATGGGGACTGTCATTCTGAGACCTCATCCAATCTGGCAGTTGGTGCCTTTTGCGGGTAGGGATGGAGGTCATTCCAACCAGAGGAAATCTCTCATTAGTAAGTGTGAGGAACAACCCCAAACCTCCAGATTATACTTAAGTAGTTCCTCTGGCAGGATTTTCTCTCTTGTGCACAAGAAGTTCTTAACCCCAGCATATATGTGTGTGTGTGTGTGTGTGTGTGCGCGCGCGCACACGCACATGCATATGACGTGCACATACATGGGCGGGCACATGCTTGTGTGGGGAGAGAAGCAGGCTCAGTACTGGACAGTAGGAAAAAGGATTCCACTTTGAACAGGTCTCTAGCACACACAGAGAGACTCTTACTTTTATTGCTTCATATTAGGAAAGTGTTAGTACCCTTCTTGAGGTCCTTTTTTAGTTTCAGTTGAGAGTTGGCCTGGAGACATGGTTCTGACAGAGATAGGATGGGATGTGTTTCATTCCTTCCCAAGCCCTTTCCCTGTGACCTCTGGAATCTGCTCCAGCTCATCAAGTCTCTGTCTCTAGCAGCTGGGCTGCTGCACAGCCCCTAACCATGTCTTCTTTTTGTTGTTGTTATCATGAAAAAAACTAGAGAAATACTCATTTTGCTAAATGCAGTAAAGGGCTTTGTCTTGCACCTGTACTTATAAAGGGTGAGATTTATTGGTCTCTTTGTCTGAGGAGAAAGAGTGGGTCTGATTATCAGATTGCACACCAGAGACAAGTGCTTATGTAATCAACAAACTGTCTTGGTGTCAGAATACGATTGTGTTGGAGATAAACTGTGAAAGGAGAAAGTGCTGGATGCTGACATGCTATTGGCACTGAGTTTCCTGGGCTGCTTCCTGTAGTTGCTAGTGTTTATGATGAAGCCAGCTCATTCCTGGACAAAGCCCTTGTGAGGGTAGGGGATCTCAGTAACCAGCCATGTTATCAGTCAGGGTCAAAAGCCCCTTGCCTTGTGGTTTCTGAGTCTGGAGAAGTGGGAGTTAATCTGTAATCCCTCAGTGAAAGGAGCCACAGAGCACACATTAATTCTTCCTCTCACCTCTCCTGCTTTAAGTGGCTAAGGTCTCTGAGCTCTGTTTAGCCTGTGAATCCTGGTTCTCAGCTTAATAATACTTGGCTTTGCTCTAGTACCTTTTGTTGTGAGGAGTGAAAGCTTTTTACAAACATGTATTAACCCAAGTGGGACTGGGCTTAAACTGTGACATGAAGGATTTAAGTTAGGCCTAAGATAGAACTTCCCAGTATTAATTTAACAGAATTGTCTTGTTCCCTCATAGCATCCTGTATAAGCCTTACAGGTGTTCTTATCAGGTAGACGAACTAATTTTTACTAAAAAAAAAAAAAAGATGGGGTCTCTCTATGTTGCCTAGGCTGGTTTCAAATTCATGGGCTCAAGCAGTCCTCCTGCCTTAGCCTCCCAAAGGGCTGGAATTGCCCGCCGAACCACCACGCCCAGCCCAGAACTAACTTTAATTTCATCCCTTCTTTGTCCAGTGCCTTGGCAGAGCTGATACGGGGTGGTCCATCCTTGGAGGGATTAATACAGGGGCCTGAGGCCTTCCCTGAGAAGGCTTTGTCTAGCTGAGCCAACTGCTCAAGCCCTTGTGTCTCTGGGGGCTAAATGCAAATCCTTGAGGAACTCAGCTGTGAGCCGTGCTTTACTGGGCCACAAATGAAAATGGCTGTTGTCTGGGAAGCATAGCGAGAGAAGGAGCTTACCTCACTAGGCTCTTCCCAGGCTGATGATTCTAGGATCACTGAGCACTGGAGTGGAGTTTGTGAAAGCCTCAGGATGCTGGAGCTCCATTTCCCCAGCTCCTGGTGGGAGAGTTGGGCTTAGTCTGCAGTGAGGCATCCTGCAGCAGAACCCCGGAGCAGCACTCTGGTTTTCCATTTTGATGTAGTGATTTTCTTGCCCCACATCAGTGATATTCCTGGGGCCCAGGGCAGGGGCTTATGGGGTACACAGGTGCTGACCTAAACCTTATCTCCAGGGAGGGAGGGCTCTTGGCAAGGGTGCATTGCTTTCCTGTGTGAGTGAGACTTTCTTGAAGCCCTTGGCATTCAGCTCATTTGAGAGACTGTTGGTGGGAGCCAAGAGAAGAAGTGGACCTTACCTTGCCCCCTGAAACTCAGACCAGACACAAGACTAACATTTGGACCCTGGAGCTTCCTAAGAAGTGAGAGTGGCTGTGGTCCGCCTTTTCCAGGATGGTCCTGATCTCAAGCCTCAGCTCCAGGCTTGAAGGTGTGTCTAAGCTCTAGGCTTAACAGGAGAGAAGCTGGACCAGAACCGGCAGCGGTGGGCCTGTGGGTGTCTGTCACTAATCTGGGGTTGGTAATAAGCCTCCTCCTGACTCTCTTTGGCCCCTTCATGACTGAGGCAAAACAGGGTATCTGCTTACTCAGTTTGTGGCTCTGGAAGGTGTACAGGCTCTGGGTACTAGTTGGGGCTGGGCGTAGGAGGGGCTGCCGAGAATGCGTATTCCATGAGGGCAGAGTTTTTACATTTTTCTTCACTGCCGGATCCCTAGTTCCTGTAATGTGGCCCAGCCCGCAGCAGACTTTCTATGAATAGTTATTGACTAAATAAAAGGAGGAGTCCTTTGTACTCCAAGATTATTGAAGCTGCTGACCGAGGGCACTCCCCCACCCCCAGCCCCCCAGCCCTTAGTGGACCATCTTTTCTTCTCTTTGACTCAGGCCCTCCCTCTGCTGGGCAGTTCTTTGGTCTTCCAAGCAAGGAAAGGGTGTGGAGGTGCCAGCCGGGTGGGCATGCTGTGGGTTAAAGCTTTGCGAAGCAACAGTGTAGTTAATCTTTCTAATTTATTTTCCTTTTAGACCATGGGAAGTCTGTAGGCAGCAGCTGTTACCCAATTAAAATACAGATTAATATAAAAACAGTTTCTGGAATATAAAATAGAGTGGCTGTGTCCTTACACTTCCTTAAAATACCACCTAATAATGACTTGATGAACTACAGAAACCCACCTAGAGGAGCTCAGCGTTTTTAAAATGAAAATTTCTCCCTAAAAGGTGTATATTACCATTCCATGTAAGTCACCATGAGAAAATAACCTTCCCACTTAGAGCCAGAGATTTCTGTGCATTGGGTATTTGGTATTCATTAAGTATAATTATAGTTTAATTGGAGTTTAATCTCCCCCCCCAACACACTTTAAAAAAAAGAAGTTTCCAAGCAAGGCTGAGATACTGCTCTTTCTGAAAGTAGCCAGGGACATGCCGGGGGTGGTGATTTCCAGTTGGTGTCCAGGACATGGGGGCCTTATGCCCTCAGATCCTTGTTAAGTAGTCTGTCCCCAGTCTGTGCCTGAGGGATATTTTTACTTTAAACCAAACCAAAACAAAGGAAAACAACAAGCTTGTTTGAACCCAGGCATGACCTAGGTGGAGCATAGGCCTGAGTCAGAAATTCTCTAGGTCATAGTCTGAACATTAGGCCTTTTTGTCTTAGTTTCCCCATCAGTTAAAGGTGACTCTGTCTCTTGCTTGGCTAGTTCATATCGATGACCCATGTATGCAGGGTGAAGGATAGGAGCCTGTGGGACTTCATAGATGTTAGGGAAGGTGTTAGGGAGAGTGTGGCAGGGGGCAGTGCTGGATACCAAGGCTCAGAGAAGGGGTGGACTTGAAGCCAAGTGTGCCTGTCCTGTATGAGAACTCCCCAAGTTTTACAGGAACTTCTGTGAAGCTAGGAGCTGAATTTACTTGAAACTGTAATTGTGGGAAGTTATTGAGCCTATTGAATACAAAAGACATGTAACATCAATTTGTTTGCAAGCTGAAAGCTGAAACAGGTGTGAGAACATGCCTTGTGGTCAGTGTGTGTATGTGTACACCCATCTCAGGGCAGGATTTTATGGGAGAAGCTCACATTGTGTCCTGCGTCCTAGGTCTTTATTCTCAAGTCTTCTAGTTGGGCTTTGAACCTAAAGCAGTGCCAGATCAGAGCCCTTTACAGCAGAAGGAGAAAAACAGAAAGGAAAGGGTTCTGTTCAGCCTTGAGTCCCTTCACCCTGGTTTTCTACCCATCAGTTATTTCTCTTTCCTTTCAGCTCACCGGGATTATTCAAGCCATGGTGGATGGTCAGCCAAGCCTGCAGCAAGTGCTGGAGGTAGGTTGAGTGACCTTTAATTCCTGACCTCTGACCCCTTCCTGCTGCCTTTCTCTCCCTCCCCTCCTGAGAATGTAGCTGTGTAATTTGACTATGATTATGGCTTGATTAGAATAACATTTGCTGTCACATCAGTGACATGCTGTTGAGAGTATTGAACCATTGATCTGTCATCTCCAGCTGTTCCCGTCAGGGTTTCTGACAAGATGTCCCAGTGCTGCCAGGAGTTGGGCAGAGGGGCCCCCACCCCTTCCTGGCCTATGGCCCTGGGCTGGCTGGCTCCGGGGTAGCCTGTGCTGGGTGTGCTGGGGAGTAGGGGAGCTGAGCTTGGTACTGTGGGACTAGCCCCGGGGACTGGAGGTGTTTTTGTTTAGCTTTAGTGTTGGCTTCTTGTGGCATGTGAGCACTTCATTAACTCACCCAGAACTCCCCATCGATGGCTTTTGTTTGCTGAGAGCTCCTCCAGGAGCTGTGGCTGGGCCCGCCTGCCCCACTGCAGCTTGCCGCTGGATGCTTTGTGCCTGTCGGGTGCAGAGGCTGCACTGGGTAATGATTCCTAATCAGAATAATTACAACAATTGCCTATGTGAGGGAAATCAAATTAAAGACTTTAAAACCCTTGGCAGAGACCACACTTCCAGGATGTTCTCCTCGGGGAGCTAGAAAAGGTTAAGATGCTGTTTCTTGCACTGTAGCCCGAGGGAATAAGGAAGGACAGTGCTTGGTCTTAGCTTGTCTCCCACCCTCCTCTGGCCTGGAGGTTTTCACAGGGGGAGAAGGTCCCCCTTCCATGTCTTTCTCTATGGGCGGGGTGAGGGGAGAAGAGAAAAAGCCTGTGGATCTCATTAGGTGCTTTATTTATTTTTTAAGACCAATAAAGCCAAAGCTCAGACCTTAATCAAAGCGCAGGAGAAAGCAGAATATCTGCAAGAATAGCACGGCACATCTACACTGGAGGTGTGCAGCCTAGAGGAAGTAGCGTAGTGGCAGGGAGCAGGGCAAGATATCTTTCTTTTAGCCAGGAGATCCTGTCCCATGCAGGAGACAGATGCAGATTGAATTTCGTGGGGCCCCCCCAAGGATGGAACCAGGGTCAGAGAGGCAAGTTTAGGCTCACCTCAGTGGCAGAGGGTATTTCCTGTCCCTGGGAGTGTGGGAACCCAGGCTGTGTCCAGTCTGGTTGGGGGTCAGAGTTTGGGCACCTGCAGTAGATTGGGAGAAGATAAGATGAGCTCTGAGATGCTTCCCACATTGACCATCTTTTTTTGAAGAGATTCATTCCTATGACCAAGGGAGCTCCTTAGCATGGACTGCTCCCCATTAAAACAGACTCAAGGAGACAGAGGGAACTCATTCTTTCCTCTGTCCTGGCCACCATCCCCTGCCAGGGCCTGGCTCCTGAGGGATGCCAGAAGACAGGTACCTTTTTCCTGGAACATCTGTAGCTGGGATCCTGGAGGAAGATACTTGCTCTGGGCCAGCACCAAACCAGGACTGTTGAGGTTATGGGTTTTTTTTTTCTCAGTGGCCCCTGTCAAGGAGGAGATGTGATCTTGAGAAGGCAACCCCTGCTAACTCTAGGCCAGCCCTGGAGCAGGGTGCTCAAAGAATTCTGAGTCTCACCCAGGAAGCTACTTTCTGCTACTACATGCTTTGTGGGTAAGGGGGGAAAATTCCTGGTATCAGCTTGAAGAGAGTTTCTGGCTGCACTAGGAGACCAGACTGGACTCTGCTTCATCTCATTAGTCCTGAGATGTTTATGGAGATAAAGAGTTCATTTCTTGTCCGAACCAAGGCCCTTAGCAGGCAGCCAGCTAGATGTTTACCTGACTCGTGGTAAAAGGTGCTCACTAAATAGCTGCTGTGCAAGCGAGTGGCCTGGGTCCTAAGCTTCCAGGGACCCCAGTGAGTGTTGAGTGCTTCCTGTGATAAGGGCCCAGTTTTGCTGAGTGTGGCCTCCTGTTGTGTCTTGCTCTCTCTTTCACTGTGCAGGAGTTGGGGCGTCGGGGAGCCCCTCTAATATGTGGGGCACTTAACTTGGGGATATAAAACAGTGAGCTTGGGGGAGGTTATACTGATTTAGGGAGCCCTGGTTTCACCTTACCTCTTAGGTGACCCTGGGGAAAGGATTCATGCACGTGTGTGTGTGTGCGCGTGTGTTCGTGCACGCGTGTGTGTGTGCGCGTGTGTGTGTGCACACGCACATGCCTGTACATGCAAAGAGTTGGGCCAGAGTAACTGAGGAGACAGATCATTCAGCAGTAGAGGATCCAGAATTTATCTTTTGGGAAGATTCTTTGGCTGAGGAGGATTCTGTGGTGTACAGACTGTAAAGAGCGTTTATAGAGACCACATGGTCTGCATAGTCTGGCACCGGGGAGCAACTCTGACATTCTGGTTGATCGGGCTGCTATAGCCGCGGAACTAGGTAGGATCCTTGGCCTTAGTCAAGGATGACTTTAGCGTGGGCCGGGCCTCTGGCATCACAGAGGTATCCAGGGAGCCAGCCTATACCTGCTAGAAGTAATCCTACTTAAGATACTTAAAGATATCCATGGACTCTCAATTTCCTGCTGAGCACACGAGGCCCTTTACAGTCTGGCCTAACTTAGTCCTCCAGCCTCTGTCCTTTCTTTCTATATACTGTGGACTTCAGTCACCCTAAACTTCTACCTACTCATGTTTTCAGTCAACCAGCAAATATCTCTTGAGTAGATCCTGTGCTGGGTGAGAGATTAAGGTAGTGAGTAAGGCAGAGTTCCTGCCTTCGTGGTGCTTATATTCGCAGGGAAGGCAGACATTTAACAGATAATTGCTTCAAATACAAAATTATTGCATATGTACCTTTGCCTCTACCTGTAGTATCCTCTACTGTGTTCCACCATGTCAGGTTCCTACTTCAGTTATCTTCTTTGAGAAGCCTTTTCTGACTCCTTTCCCTGTGAAAGGTAGGGCTAGCCACTTCCTATTCTTGGTCCTGTAGCACTGTGGTCACGTCTCCAGTGCTGGATCTGTTGTATTATGATGATCTGCCTTTCTCCCCTTCTCAGCCTACTGCCTGTTTTGTGGTAGGTACTTAAAACATTATCACATTTAATTCTCAGAACAACTCTGTGTAAGGTTTTATAGATGAAGGAAACTGAGGTTCAGAGAGGTTACATGACTTTTAAATGACTCTCCATCAGTGACACAGCCAGGATATAGAATAGCCAAGGGTTGGAATCCAGATGTGTCTGACTTCCAATCCTGCATTTTTAACGACTATGTGAGATAGCCTTAAAAAATAATCTCTTGCATGGGTAGATGCAGTGGTGTGACTCCCTCTCCATGCCTGGGGTCTTCTGAAAAATAGGCAATGCTTCATGAATTCTTTTTATTTATTATTTATTTATTTTTTACAGAGTCTCGCTGTGTCACCTAGGCTGGAGTGCAGTGGTGTGATCTCAGCTCACTGCAACCTCCACCTCCCAGGCTCAAGCAATTCTTCTGCCTCAGCCTCCCAAGTAGCTGGGATTACAGGAGTGCACCACCACACCCAACTAATTTTTTTATTTTTAGTACAGATGGGGTTTTGCCATGTTAGCCAGGCAGATCTCAAATTCCTGGCCTCAAGTGATCTGCCTGCCTCAGCCTCCCAAAGTGCTGGGATTACAGGCCTGAGCCACCACACCCAGTCTTGAATTGTTTATGATATTTCTCTTGTTGTATACTGATTTTAGTATTTGAATTTCCAGTGTGAGCACAAATAAATGGATCAAAGGGTTGAAGGGAAAGAAGGATTTAGAGTGTTTAGGAGCAGTTTTTCTCCCTGTGTAGAAGTTGAGCTCAGCCTTCAAAATATTCTGCTGAATTTGAATCCTCAGCCATGAAGAAGAGAAATACGAAGTTGGGGGCCAGTTTTGAACTTTTAGCAGCTGGAGCAGGCAGCACTATCCCAGGTGTCAGGATGGGGCTCCAGTCCAGTAAAGGGGACTCTTAAGGTGAAAATTTTCGTCACCTTCATTTGGTGAATAACCAAATTTGTAAGTTTGGTTGATAAACATTTGGTAGAAGAGTAAAACAAATAAATGAATGAGTGAAGCTGTGGGTTGGAGCCCCTGTTTGGGGCCTCCTTCTACTGTGTTCTCATGCCCCAGGACAACAACCTGTCTATGCTGGGCCAGGGGACCAATGAGAGGAACAGCCAAGTCAGAGCAAGGTATTTGAATTGACCTGCTGGGATCTGAGCAGGCTGCTAGGCAATAGGCGAGTGTAGGGTCTCCCTCCGGCTACACACTCGGGCTGCGGAATCTTCCTAAGGGGTTGTCTTCCAAATACCTCCGTGGTTCTCAGCCAAGCCTGAGAGCCCACAGCGGGGGCCATAGTTGGATAAGATTACAATTTTCTCCTGCTCTGATTACAAGCAGCTTATCTGTGTTTCGCTGTTGTGGCTCTTCACAGGCTCAGGGAAAAAAAAAGGAAAATCTCATTTGTTCTTGTGTACTTTTCAGAGGGTCGATGAGTGGATGGCGAAGGAAGGCCTCTTAGATCCAAACGTCAAGTCAATTTTTGTCACCTGTGGAGACTGGGACTTAAAAGTCATGTGAGTATGAGAAGGGCTACTTTGCTGGCAGAGCTTGGAATCTGTGGGACCAGGTCTTGCCTTTTGGAGGCTTAAATGTCTACAAGGCAGCTGGGTCATTGATTCTTCAGGTCTCTGAGGCTGCCAGGGATAGAAGAGGGTTGGGAGCCCTGCCTTCTGCCTCTCTGGAGCAGGGTGTGGGGAAGTCAAGGGCATGCCTGGACAGTTGGGGCCTTCCCGCCTTTGCCAGGTCTCACTGCTCATGACAGCCCTTCCAATTGCTGGGGCTGTGTGTTACTGCCCTGGAAGGGAGGAGTTAAAAGAGTGTCTTGGAAAAAAAAAAAAATTAAGCCAAATACCATGTTTATTATGTAATGAAATATAGTAACTTATTTATCAACTACATAAAGTAGGCATTATTATTCTTCCTATTTTATAGCTGAGGAAGTAAAGGTACAGAAAGGTTAAGTAATTTACTGAAGGACACACAGAGCCAGGATTCAAACTCAGGTCCTTGCTCTTAACTATTATACTATGCTGCCCCTTTATCTGGCCTGCAGGACCCTGGTGATCCAACTAGGAGCCCAGTGGTGGGATGAGAGAGGGCTGCTCTGGGAGCTGCCCATGTCACCAGCCTCCTCTTTCCTCCTCTGTCCCCACTGCTTATTTTACCTTTGTCTCCTGATCCTGTCCTGGTTATGGAAGACAGAATCAGTTTCTTTGCTGGGCTGACACTTGTGCATCTTGTCTGCCCTCATGAATACATGGCTTCAGATGGCCCCCAGGGAACTGAAGTGGGATGGAGGTGGTGGGGGCATTGTTTGCTGAGGAGTCATAGAATCTATTACCTCTGTGTTCATGGTGACTGAAGGTAGCAACAGGTATTCCGTGTGTGTGTGTGTGTGTGTGTGTGTGAACTTTTGAGCATAAAGTGGGATGTTTGTGAGGTGTGTGGTGTAGTAGCTCTGCAGTAACATTTTCTACCACATCAGGTGTCATCTCCTCACCAAGGCCCTTTGTAAGCCTTTTGGTTGCTGGACATTGAGGTGAAGTTATGTACCCAGGTGGGTGTCAAGCCTGCTATTGGACCCCAACTTTCTAGGTGAGACAGGAGGAAGAAAAGGCCCCAAATCACATGAGCACACACAGACCTCATCTCTCATACCCTTTAGGTGTGTACACACACTGACTGCACCCCTCTTGGTTTACTCCAGAAGGTCTCCATATTCCCATGTGACACCTCTTTGTCAGGGAAATTATACAGGTTGGAATTAGAAGCAAATATGACTCAGAAGGAGTCCATGGAGAAGGAGTGGAGGAAGAAGGCTCTTGTTCTTGTTAATGGCGTCCTGGGCAGCTTTGAGTCCTTAAAGCGAGGAAGGGACTTGACGTGGATCTCTGTAGCCCAAGAGAAGCTACTCAAGGTGGGACCAGTTTCAGGCTGATACCCAGAATTCTGGGATTCATATGGCCCAGGAGGAAGGCCCTTTGGTCCAGTCCAGAGTTCTACTTCCTCCAGGTAGCCTCCCCAGGACTGCCTTCATCCAGTGTTGTTCTCTCTTTGGCATCTTCACCTTCCAAACACATGCATTTCAGAATCATCTACTTTAACTGTGCATGATGTGTACATATGTGTGTATATGAAAACTTTCCCGTACATGAGGTTGGAGACTATAAACTTGGAGTTGATCTCCCCATGAGATGGAGAGGGAATTTCAGAGGGTGCTGTCTTCTTTTGGTCTGGCCTGTTCTGTAGCACAGTGGACCCTGGACAGGTGTTAGTGACTCAGGAGATTGCCCTGCCTCTTCCTGAAAAATGATATCATCAAGAAGAGAGACTGGGTTGTGGAACCCAACCGTATATGAAAGGAAGCCAAGTTTTAATGAGCGCATACCTTGCCGCATCCACACCTCCTGACTAGCATCTCTGGTGGGTGGTGGTATTGTCTTTCTTTTATAGATGAAACAAACCAAAAACCCCTGTGGCTCGGAGAGCTAAAGACACGTAGCTAGACAGAATTGAATTCTAAGACCGTGTAGTTTCCAAAAGAGATGGGTAGGGCAGACTTGGTTGTCTGGTTTGGGTTTGGACTGGGAAGGCTGGTGAAGCTTCAGAAAAGGGTTTTCAGAAAGGAAGCAGGTGGCAGGGCTTGGGGGAGGGAGCTCTGTGGCTGCCTCTTATAAACAGGTCTCTGCATAACTGCTGGGAAGGCTCTTAATTAAATGTGTAACAAAATAAAAACAGCCGGAGAGGAAACCTAAGTAGTGCTGCGTGACAGCGCACAGCTAATCGGTGTTCCTGGAACCTCTTGGCAGAGGCTCGTCATATGGCTCTCGTCAGAGCCATCACCTTTTTATGCGCCCGGTAAAGGCTGCAGATGAGCCTGACAAGGGTGGTGGTAAATTGACATTCACAACTTGTTAGTCTGTGGCTTACTTCTTATTTTGACATCCGTTTTCAGATTTAACTAAGTCTTAGGAATTCAGCAAACATTTTCATTTCACACTCTAGTTTCCGGAAGCCATAGTTCCTTCTCATTGCTGTCCTTACCTCCTCCTCCCCTTCTCTCCCCAGCAGCTTCACATCACTTTTGTTGGAAAGGGGCTGATAAGTGGGCACTGAGAAATGGGAACTGAAGTGGCAGCATAAATCCCACTGGAGAAAAGATATCTGCTCCCATCCTGACAAATCATTTTATGTCCATCTTTTGTCAAAGCCAGATGAGTTGATTCTCCAGGTGTACGTGGGCTTTGGTGTGTAGTCACAGACCCTGCTAAGGTGAGTTGTTATTTAGTGGTGTGGGTTTAATTTTCCTCTCAATGTTTTTGAAGAAACACCACTTGTTGCGGGTCTGGCTCTTGGTCAGCTTGCCTTCCCTGCCTGCCCTACTTTTTCTTCACCTTGCTTGGTGCTTCTTGAAGCTTCCCATTGGGTTTGGTGGTGTTTCTCTGCTTACCCAGGTAGAAAGTGCCTCTTTCAGAGGGCTCCATCTTTGGTATTGTGGTGGGGTTAGCGCTGGTGTAGACTGAGGAGGGACACATGCACAGGCACCCACTTGAGGAACTTAGATTTTAGCCTGTAGCTTGAAGATCCAGGTTCACCAGCCAAACAGCACAGCATGGCTGAGAAGCTAGACTAGAGGCTTTCCCAGTGGGCCCTGAGTCTGAGAAGAAGGAAGATTGAGAAGAGGGAAAGACTGGAGGGAAAGAGCTGACCTGAGGGAGGCCCTGGCCCTTAGTGCAGTCTAGGAAGAGTCCCCTTTAGAGAGGGTAGGAGAATCAGATGCTGTTCTCTGGTGGAATAGGGGCCAGGGGCCTGCTCAGAGTCTGGTGAGAAGACCCTCACTTAGGCTCAGCCTCAGTTTTGGAGCAGGAAGTTTTCCTCCCCCTGGAGGGAGAAGGGAGGTTGAACACATAAATGCAGGCATTTGACTTCCTTTTTTCCCCCCGCCTTCTTGCTGGGGTGTGCATACTACATTCTGGCTGTGCTCTACTGGTGTGGACCTGGAGTTCACTTCAGGTTTTAGGAGGTCTGGAGATGGAAAGATACTTGCCCAGATTACACTGTCACTGTTGGAGATGGGGAGATGGGGAGCATGCACTCAGCAGGGGCTACTGAGGTTTCCTCGAGGCTGCTGTCAAGCGGTCAAGACCACTGAAGAGACTGCTGTTACCTGGAGTGAAAGGTGCCATGATGGAACCACACACCTGGGTGAGCACTGTGGGGTCGTGACTGTCCTGTGGGAATGTGGAAGATGGCTAGAAGGGGGCCTAGTGACATGCTTGCGGCGGGTTGGGCTGGGTCCTCTTGGCATTGCTCAACAGCTGACTACTGCAATCTTCTTGAAATCATCTTTATCTGTACTTTTGTTATGTTTTCTGTTTCTCTGGCTTCTCCTCCTCAGTCACTTGGGTAGATATTAATACTTCTTTTCTTCCTTTTTTTCATGTTGGTGTTTCTTAAATAGTGGTGTTTCTTTGATTTCTATCCTGGTTGTCTTTTCTGTTTATTCTACACATTCACACTTATCAGTGATCTCATCTTTTGCCATAGCTTCAACTATCCTCTGTATGCTGATGTCTTCTAATCTTTTTCTCCAACTGGAGAAAAGAAATCGGCTTAATCTGCCACCTAAACGCCACACCTGCATATCCAGCTACCTACTCTACATGTCCACCTAGTTGTCCACAGGCCCCTTCAAGCTCAGATGTTTATCTTTCTCCTCACACCCTGTCCTCCATCATTCCCTCAAATAATGACTGGCACCATCTACTGAGTTGTTCTGTTGGAAATCTGAAAATTATCCCTTCTCTATCCACACCAGTTAATTGCCAAATCCTGTTGATTCTGCCTCCCAGAGGTTCTCAGATTTATTCCTTTCTTCCCATCCTACTGCCCTGCCCAGTCAGGATGATCATATTCTTCTTGGATTGCTACAAAAGTCTTCTAACTAGTCCCTTCTGACTCCAGTTTTGCTGCTTCTATTCCATTCTCCTAATTGCAGCAGATTATGTCATCCCTTGGCTTAATACCCTTCAAGGTTTGCCCTTGCCCTCAAGGGTAAAGTCCACACCATTTATTGGGACTTTCAAGGTTCTTGCTTACATCTTTAGCCTCACTTCTCAATATTCTGTGTGCCACCCCTGCACCCCTCCCCACCAGCCACATGCACAAGCTGGCCGGTTCCTGGTGATCCCTCTTCTTTCTCTAGGTGCCTTCCTTTGTTTTCCTGGAGCACATGTACACATTAATACATAAAATGATGCTGTGGCTGCCTCTACTTGTCTGTCTCTTGCACTACATTGTGAGCACTGTTGTAACCCTAGGACAAGGACAAGACTTGACATGTAGTAGTTGTTCAATAAATAATTGTTGAATAAGTGACAACTAAGTAATGGAATGTTCCTGTGGAATCTCTGCTCAGGAAGAACGACAGAGGACTGTTAGTAGGTAGATTCAGGAAGCATTCATTGCCAGTGTACAGGACAAATGGACTAGAGGAGCAATTCTTAGGCCTTGC